TTGGTTTTTTATGTTAAGCATAGCCGGAAAGTCTCTTCGAAAAGTGGAGTAATGCGGAGGTAAGATTGATCACTGCAACCGGATTGTTAGCAGAGTCAAGTTTTTCATTCTTGAGACCGGTAATTTTGCACTTCTGAAAGATACGATTCTAATTTCTACGTAGGAAAAAGGCCTGACTAAAGAACCTCACATTTCGACAGCCATGTAGTTTTCCGTTACCAAAAGCGTGTTAGCCTATACAGCCAAAATACTACTAAAGACCGACAGCCTGAGACGAGCTCTAGCGCAGTCACTGACTGTGCTCTGCTATCCAGATCTTGGCCAGCGAAGTTGGTCAGACATTTAGGTTACTGGTCCTCAGCAGTCCCTTCGAGGAAGCCCTAAGATTCAACACTTTTACTGACCCCAAGTGGAATCGCAAAAAAAATTCAATAGTTTAGCAAGATCGTATTCAGACTCATATCATGCACATTCAAATACGAATCACTAGAAAACTACTGGGATACTGGTCTAATGGTGACCCTATTGATGGGTAGACATGCAACTTGTAAATTCGCTTTGGTCTCTTGAAAAAGGCTATCTGTTGCGGAATTTGTGGAGTCTCTTTGTAGCATTTGCTTGGGTTTGAGCAACGAATGATTTGAGTCAATGAATATCCAGGAAAGTTCAGGAAAACGCGTTCAAGAGAAGATGGATGTTCAGTTTCCGTAAATAAGATGCAAATGTGAGTTTGGCTTCCCTGTCCAATAGTCTACTACTGGTCAATTGGCATTTCCTAATATATAACTCCGCAGCAAAGGCCTTCTTCCTCTCACTGGTAGCTCGGGTGAGTTTATTGGTGATGGTTAAGGTGCCAGATGGTCTTCGTCTCCTTCGAAATCCCAAAGGAACACGAAAACGAATGTGTAATTTTCATTAAATCGAATTGAAAAACTGTAAAATCGGGACTCTACCAGATGCGGATGACAGTGCTAGGTTGGACTGGCGAAAATATTTATCGTTACCGTATTCATCAGGTCCTCTCGACGTTTTGGGGAGCAAAGACCAGCAGTACAGAAAAAACCGCTTGAAGACGAAGCCGGATATGCCTTTTCGGGCCGCGGTTCCAAAAGAGTAGTCGGCTGAAACACAGCTTGGATTTGCAATATTCATAAACTTTCTCTCGATAATCCTTCACCAGTCAAACTTTTTAACCAATGATTAATAATCACGCAGAATTAACCTTATGTAGCGTGAGTGAGCGTTTGTGTGCCCATAATTTCTTAGCATGAGGAAGTAGAAAGTGAGTCTCTTACTCTGCCGTCAAGCACGCTTTATACACTGCTCGCTATTGACTATCCTCATCTGATGAGAGACTTAAATGTCCATGCTGATTAGAATTCAGTAGCCGGGACGAGGACACTGGAGCCATTCGCAACTGGATCGATGACCGACAGGGGCCGATATAGGCGTGAGCAAATCTAGAGTTGTCCATTACTGAGACTTGGTTAAATCCCAGTGAAACCTAAATAGCCATATTGGCTCATTCGTGTAGTAGACAGGCATTTTTTTGTTTTGTCCTCACTGAAGAGTGAAAATTCAAAAATCTAGTCCCTAAAAGACAACCGCGTGGCGTTAAATGTGATACAAACCGTTCTTTGGTGGGCGCAAAGGTGCGTGTCTCCCTGAGGCATCTGCACTACCGTGAGAAAAAAAAGAAAATATTTGAGTTGGGATGCCAAACTAGTAAAAAAAAATCAACGGTTTGTGGCAAAAGTTAAAGTGATACTAATCAAGAGACATTATTGACCCACTGAGATCTAACTGTGAGAACACTATAGAGTAAACGGTGCAGGGACAAAGCTACAACCAATTTCACGGAAATGAACACATGTTTGATTCACTATAGCCAATTTCGGAAGAAGAATGTCATCCCTGAATTAAATTACGTGCACAAAGTATCCATGCAATGAAACTTATTTGGTTGTTACGCAAACATTTCAGTAAAAGTTAATTCGGGAGCTAGGATTTTTTGTTTGCATTAAGCGCCTTCAAAATAAGAGCTTTCAACGACCACTCTACGTGGTCATGTTTGGTACCAGATTCCATTTATTTGAATCTTAGGGCTGTGGTTCTCACGGTGGAGGTACGAAAACATTTAACCTAAGTTCAGTCAGGTAAATTCCGATTTAGGAACTCTGGAGCTGTTCTTTAATCTAACACATTTGTCAAGCAATACCCACCTCTGCTATTGGAAGGATCTTGCTACCAAGGTGGTTGTAGCTGAGTATTTCTTTTCTACCAGAAACAGAGAAAACATGCTATGAATAGCGAAAATCAACTCTTTTACAGCCATCATAGTATTTTGAAAGTTCGGCTAATTTGATTGACGACAACCTGGAAATAAAACCGTACCTTGAAGAACACAAGTATTACTGGAAAGAGGTACAGAGCACTGATGACTCATCCTAATCCACAGGAATTCATAAAAAACACTCAGTCATTCAGCCAAGCGACTAAAAAGCATCCAGGCAAATAAAGCTTACAGAAAGAGAATTATCAATCCACTGGGAACAATACACCTAAAATATCAAGTAGAACGTGCTTAAACATCTAGAAACCATGAAATTAAGTGGGCGGAAAAACGATATTATGAATCCTGCTACATTTTTGTCTAATGGATAGAGGAAGACGCGTGAGAGGGAACATCACTTTGCATCTATTGTATGATGTTGATGAAGTTAGAGAAGAAGCAACTGGACGACATTTTTGGCCCCCTTGGGAGTGGACTTTATATGAGATGTCCACGAAGCTCCTGCGAGAGAATTCTGGTAGACCAGGCATTACCACTCACCAATCTAGCATAAAATTACTCGTCGGCAGAGCGTCTATACATAGAGAGAAGTTCGCCTTCAAAGCCAAAGGAAGTATTATGTTTTGCAGAATTTGAGAAAGTATAATAGTTATCCTCGAGGGGTTGTCGCCCGAAAGAAAAACAAGGACAAAAAATTTTGAGCACCTAGTGGAACCAGAGCAAGACTCTCTACTCCGGGGATCCAAATTAGAGCTGCGACTGATTTTGGAAATGTTTTCTCCAAAATGCATACAGCTGCGTACATTCTTTGACCATCAGTTCAAACAATAAACCAGACTTTCCTTTCTTCATCATCCGTCTTATTTGGGAATCGGGCTCATTCGAAATTTGTGGCCATACTTCTTCTGTAATCAGTGTAGGTGGGGTGAATGGAGAGCCAACAAGATCGCTGCTTGGAGAAAATTCTCAAGTGTAAAAAATTAGTCTTATAAATTAGAAAAATACTTCAAAAGTTGAGAGTAAATAGGTAATTTACACATTCCAAGTAGGGCAATCTAAAGATCCGGGGCTCGAAGGAGACGATTTCATTAGAAAAATACTACATGGAGTAGTACTGTGCCTACTGATGAAACTACGCGCAAAGAAACTATGAAATAGCTGTGATACAAGTGAAAACACAAAAATGACAAGGGGAGAAACTAAAGAGTTCGAGATATCAGTACAGATTGGTGACAAGTAAATTAGAAGAAGAATGTGGTAGCGTTGTGTCCTATTCCCGCTTGGTTGAATAAAATGAATACCGAAACTCGAAAGAAAAAAATGGTTATAGACAGAGACTGGTTGCATGACCTTTCGTGGTAAAACAGAACGATCCGGCTTAACACAGTACACAAATACGCGAGCGAAAGTTTACCGAAATGTGGGTAGTAGTATACTTCCACAAAATTAACTTGAGCGTTCCGCGCCATCAGTGGACAGTACTCAAACAATGAAATAACAGAAACTTTCTTGTTTGTCCGCACACGATCAGGCCAAGAACAATCGCGAGAAAAAATATCCAATAAACTGATATCACAATCACAATTCCTCAACTACAATCAAACAACTCTCTTACATTGATTAATACACCACGCACAGTCTGCAACCTCGTTTGAGTTCAATACTGTGAGCGAAATGGTGGGCTTCAGAAAAAGCCTTCTGAAAACAGTTCAGAAGAGATCTGAACTTAAAATCCCATTGAAGGACGAACCAAGGACAACGTTCATGCGACGTCAATTCCGTGTAGATGATGCGATGATATTTAACATGTCAGAGAACCCATTTCTACAACGTAATAGCATAAAACATACCCTCAAAACCCTTTCCAAGAGCATTTATTTGCATACTAGGAAGTTCATTGACTTATACCATTGCCCACAAGCGTCATAAAAATTATTCGACATGTTCCTATCCATTTTCCATTGATTTTGTGTCACAAGGACGAGCATGGGTACTGGACTGTGGAGGGGTTTTCAGTAACCTTGCGACCTGTCAAGTGAAAATACTGCGATACCACAATGACCATGAGAACTGAAGTTCAAACGCCCTTGTGCGGAAGATTTAGCTAAACAGTATCGTAAATGAGGGATTCAACTGCCTCGTTTTAAGAATTAGTTAATTAGAGGGCATGTATTCCGTCACGTTGGTATTCAAGTTGGTTTAAAAATTTAATCATCTATGCTAATGTGGTTCTAAACCAGTTGGACTGTTCATACAATGGAATATTTTACAGCTTGCATTCCTGATTGGGTCGACTCACAGGATGAAGTTAGTCAGCACTGGTATAAAAGCGATATTATCAGCAGTCCCGTGACTGGTGCCTGGGCTTTGTTTAGCCCCTCCTGATTTTGTCACGGGATGAAGTTAGTCAGCGCTGGTATAAAAGCGATATTATCAGCAGTCTCGTGACTGGTGCCTGGGCTTTGTTTAGCCCAGTGTTTGGTGTACTGATGACCAGATATTAAGCAGCTGATTGCAGTGACGTATTATAATACGGGCTGTTTTCCTAACCCGAATACACAGCCACCTGATTGTAAGAACTGCAGTGAAAAACGTTTTTAAAACTGGCAGATCACTGGCAACAGTTATAAAAATTTCGCACCAAATAATAAGGTGGACAAGGCGTATCCAAAAACACTTGAAAGCGGTGAAGTTGACCACTTCTTACCTGATTCAAATTCGTTGTGAATGATCGCTCGACGTGCTGTTGTGACTGTGATCTTTTGGTGGGATCGAGAACCGCGTTGTGTGTGGACGAAATAGTGGAGCTGGCAGGATAGTACATTCCTTTGGTAGTCCCGTTGCTTTTTGTCACCTTTTTGGATACCGCTGTATACCGACCGACTGGTTGGTGATTTTTATTTGGCAGCCCATTAACGTCACGAATCAGGCTGTAGGCAGGAGCAAATGCAGCGCGGCCTGCCGCTAATATGGCCGCCGATGCGGCTGGGCGACTTGAATGGCCATTCATCATGCTGAAATTAATCGGTATACCAAATGCGCTAATTGACCGGCTAGGTTAAATCAAAACATAAAACCTGAAGAACGATTCTTTATGGAGTACCTGAATTCAAAATTGAAAAGCTTTATCCCCTTTTTCTTCAAAAAGATGTCATGTTTTCTAGCTAGAATCAGAGCAAAATGACGGCTTCAGTGATTTTAAAAATATCATTAATTGTAAAAGTTTTTATTCTATAAAGTACCGTAGCTTGTTAGAGATGATTTAGTCCATGTGAGAGGTAAATCAAAAAAGAATTTATAAAGACTGCTGTATGCAAAAAAGCACGATCACCTCAGGCATTTTCACCTCTATACAACACTTACCTGTTACAGGTAAATAACTGTCCACCTGCGCACAAGGCTACTTGTGAACTGGGTGCGTCCGCTTTTTACACTCTCGGTAGAAACGAACTAGATACCCAAACTTGTCCTCCCAGTTAATATGCCATTGGTCTACATGAAAAGTTAGAGAGAATCTTGACTTTATATGATGCATATTCACCAGAATGTTCATAATGGTCCTGGTGAGACACATGCAATGGGAAAGGTATATGGTGCGACCGTCAGAAAATGTGGAACTCGACGTTTTACTTCCCAATAAATTGGGAGCATTCATATTTATCAGATAACCAACTGTCTGTCCATCTGTGTAGATATTCGTCAAAATCAAGTGCTTAAACACAAATCCCAACAAATTTCAGTGCGAATTCAGATTTTATTAGAAATTTTTACTGTCAGTAAGAGGTCATGAACGGCGACAAATTAATTGTAGGGAATAGCCTGACTTGTGGGATATTGAATAAAGATCAAATTCAACGCTTTTTCTCTATTAAGTCAAGAAATTGGCCTATGTCACACTTTGCAGTTTGAAACCACATTTAACGTGCCGTTTTGCTATTCTCAGAATCACGCTGAGCTTAACTTGCACAATCATCTAAATATGATCATTGTTAGAGTTTAGTGAGTAGCTGTCTCGTGTGCATTGGTGTCAGTTGACACTATCTGGTCGAAATCCGGACGGCATCATTTAATATACTGCTATACCATCAGTACTATTCACGGTGTTTTTCGGTCAGTTAGCTATTTGAAATCTGAGATGCTGTTTCTGTTTTTGAGAAATGAGAAAAATAAGGAAAATAAAAAAGGCAACATTCCGGTGCCCAGCGCCATGCAACCTGAAGAAAGCACGAGGGCTGGGATACTACCAGGTTGCCCAAGATCAGACAAGGGAAGTCGAGAAGCAGAGATTGGGTTCGAACAACGGACCTTCTGGAAGGTAAATTCGCTGTATATCCACCTGGGCCATCCCTGCCGAGGGAGATCCATTCCTTTTATTTTATGGCTTCTGTAGGTGTCTTGCGGGTTGTTATATATCACAATGCAGCCATTGAACGAAATCAATCAAATTGGAGAGTGTGTGCAACCAGCTATAAAGTGCAGCAGAATTTTCATGGGAGATTACCGAAAATCAGGAGATGGCGTTAGAAACTCTGCCATCAGTGGAACAGGGCCTGAGAAGTTTCTAGACACACGATTTGCATCAGATTCTCACACATTTCCACTAGTTCAACTAAATAAATTGGACTAACTGCGAAGTTAGTTCACAAGGCATTACATTCTACTTCCCCGTGCCGACAGCTCTAAAACAAATAAAGATTACCTGTTAAAGGTAAAATTCGGGTCAACTTTGACGACCGTGTCTCATGATGTCACACTTTTTACTGAAACATTTTGAAATCTTTCCATATTATTCCTTTAATGTAAAAATAGCGTGTGTTTTACCAACACAGACTTGAAGCAGTAGCAACCGAAATGGCGTGGTTCGACAGGCTGACATTAACGAAAATTGTATCCTGAAATGACGTGAACAAACACGCTGTGGATGTTCAGCAGGTTCACTTTTTTTTCGAAGANTTTTTTCGAATTCAACTTGCTCTCGCTATTCCTAATTATTGTAGCTCGCAGTGAGTCAGAAAACCACGTAAGTAATGACACGGGCGTATTGTGTACACGCGGCCAACTGGTCCCCTTCCGTGACGGGTAAGCAAACAACTGAGTCACATATCCAGTCAACCCACAACACTCACGCGAGCAAACCAATCGGACACGCACCCAATCGGCCACTCAAGTCACACGCCAGATCGATGGTGGACGAGGAACGGACACACACGCGCGTAAGCACAGACACACCGAAGCAGCCACTACACGAATAAAATTATCTCCTCAGATTTTTTTGGTTATTTTGGGGGCGTAAAATCTAAAAGTTACCTTCAATCCAAAGACCTTGATTTTACGACAGCCGTAGAGACTTCCGATTTTACTCTCTAGCTGGAGAACATCAATGTACGCACCAAGACTTGCTTTTCATGATAAGTGCCTTATTGACGGCAATACCCAAAGAAATAGTGCTACTTTCGACGTCTTAAATTGGTCATTTTTACTTATATTTCTAATGCGCTGACATGCTTGCAAAATCAAACGACCACCAGTTAACAAACGAAAATCTTTCATCACCCACGAGTTTCCGAGTTGATTACTTGCTTGCTACGCATCCCAAAAATAAACCTATATGAGTAGGTAATATTTCACCTTTGGGCACTTCTGGAGATATCAAGAACTGCTGATAACTTGTCCTTGAAATCGATTTGTTCAAATATGCTTACTATATAGGGATTTTTTCAATGACTTTCTGTTACTAATTCGGAAACTCTCACAGGCTGCATATGAAGACGATGTTATTTCAGGAGTCAGTTTACATGACACATAAAGTTACATTTTACAAAAATGATAAGTGCCCCTAAACCTCGTCTTAGTGCGGGTCAGTCATTCTGTTGACCAGTCGGTAGTTACCAGCACTATATGGACGAGCTTGATTTCGAATGCCCCTAGAAGTTCATTATACGTGCACCCCAGGTTATTTTCGATATGACTAAAACAGGTGCACACTGATTCTCAGTATTTCATTTAAAGTTTTGTCTTGAAATGTCTTGCCACTAGGTCGTAACCAGTTCAACACATCTTAATTTTGTCTGATGTAAGCTTCATCACACAATTCACTCACAAGTCCAAATAGGAAGCGAATTTGGGACGTTTTGAAAAACGTTTGCGCTATTTCCATTCGCATAGAGTTTCAATACTATGGGCACGTCTCAAAATTATTGAATGTATAGTATGTGTAATCTGCGTATGATTTCATTAAAGGAAACTAATTTTTCCAGATCCTATTTGCCTTACTCACGACTTTTCATTTACAGCGATAAACACAAGGAATATCCCAAGTCACGGAAGATGCTGGCACAATCCCAGGGTTTTTCTCATGGAAGATCTTTCTTCTAGTTCAGCCAAGCACTTAGTATTCTTTGTTTAAATCCGTAATCTACTTGCTGAATATTTTACGGCAGGCTTCGAGGTTTTTCTAGACCTTACAATCAGACAGTTGTCGGTTTTTCTTTCTCACCTGACTGGGTAAAACCTCCATCTAACTTTCAGACTATGAGGGGAAATGTTTTGCATATGTATAAAAAATTGTCGGTCCCTCATACATTTGAGACTATGGAGTGTTGATAATTAACCAGTGAAGTAAATTATTATTCAAGTTTATTCAGACATAGCCTACTGGCTTTGCACAATAGCCTGGCGCGGCGCTCTTGATTGATGACTGAACAGTAAGTCTGATTCGATTGCACAGCTCAGTGTTATTAACACATTTCAATATTTAATATGGATCCGATTCTGACAACATCGAGAGGTGTCCCGTCAAAATCCTGAGGTCCGTTCGTTCACATTTGAAATTCAAATATCAGATTTTCGGAATTTTTCCACTGGTGAAAGGGCCTTACACTCTAAAGGCTTCTTGTTTAATTGTAATCAGACTTTAGAAATAAGGGGTAAACAAATGCATTTGGTCACCCTGTTTATTTAATTCGGTAGCCCTGAAAAGTTTTTCCAGTTAATTGGTAGTGAAACAACACAACTTTTGTGCAAGAAGCCCAGGCGTACATGGAAAGAACATATGTAGTGCTCTCATTTTAAAAAAGCATTATAGATTTCACAATCATCAGAAAACTTTTGCTCTTATAAAATGGAAATCTCGACTTGGATTAAAAATAGCACACTTAACTGTTAACTTCATTTATTTCTGGACAATATTTCACCTTTCTATCAAAGTCATGTTTGATTGTTGAGCTATTAATCCTCGTGGTGAAAGCGTAGGTTATACTGTTTGGACGTGTTGCCAAAGTTTGTCCTGCCAAAGCTGAAGCATATTCTCTCAGATTTGCGTCAGATGGTGCTGCTGACGTAAATCTTACATGGATTATTCTGTTTCACTGTTTTCCCTCTTGTTACTGAAATATGTGCACGTCCGACGCTTGCAACACGCTGGTCACAGGATTGCTAAACGTATTGTTCGGTGTTTAGTAACAGAACGCCAGTTGGGTGTATTCAACGCGTCAGAGGTGTGTGGTGTATTTTTTTTCCTCAAACAGGTTTCGAAACAACGGTACAATTTTTATTCTGACGATGGGGTAGAAAAAGTAGGCAGGTTTGATTCATCGAATAACACTAAAAATTACCTGCGAATTTCTGATTTGAATGAAAGCAAACCAAGTCACTGTAAACAGAGAACGATAGCCTCTTAAGACGAATGACGGAACCCTATTTTGAAGACATTGAATCTTTCTTTATTCGATTTTATTTCAGAACGAAGCTCCTAAGCGATCGCGAAATGCATTTTTTCTCAGAGCAAAGGCAATTTTGTTCTAGCAGCAATGTATCTGGACCCGTGAAAGTTCAGTCATACCGGTCAAATCCATGGTTCATTCACTACCAGATAACGGATGGATACCAAGTTGTTGTTTGAAGCTTTGAATAACTCAGCCAAATCGCTAAACCAAAGCCGCATTCGTCTAATCAGAGCCAGTAGCATTAGCCAGTGAGTTGATGGTATCAAATTTAATTCGAGTGGTCAATAGTC